GTTATTTTAAAATTAGATTCATGAATGAGAATAGTATGTAGAAAAATCTTTCTGTTCAGTTAGAAAATTGATGGTGTTTGAGTAATTTTTCTAATTGAATTACATATTCCTACTTCCTGTTTGAAACTTCACTATGTTTTTTGCATCGTTCTTCTATTCTACCCAGTTCGGTCATACTACGCTACGATACCCCATTTATTGCCTACATTGATGAAGCCACCACAGTGAACACTGCAATCGTTTTGGATTTCTGATAAGCTAAATCTATGATGTTAGACGTACTATATAGATATAACTTCACTCCTCCGTTAAAGTTTTCGACTCATCAATGCGATATCACAATGTCCATGACTTATGCTTTATATTTTGATTACAATCACTAAAATAACCCTGATCAAACAGTGCTCTCGCTGTAGAATGTGGACATCTTAAACATTTTGACAATTCGGATTGAACCAGACTGGCCGTTTACCGCCACCGGTGGCAATACTGCTCTGCGTGAAAACTTTCTAAAAATGGGGGATGCGCACTCCTTTCCCATGACCACATCATTGTATGATTCACTTATATTTGATATTTCTTTCTTTTTTCCTTTTCTCTGTCGTCGCATGTGTTCGATTAGGATCGGATTGTGACGTAATTATGCCGTAGGTCCGATCGCTCTGTGACCCGTAACTGTATTGTAGTTGCTAAAAAAGAGACGATAGGAGTTAGATGAATCACCCGTTAAAAACGACTAATTGAAGATATTGATAAAGCAAAACGAAGTTTTAAGTGGAATGACATTAAAATATAATTTGACGTAAAATATGTGAGCTCTTTCTCAGCCTCTCCCTCAAAAATTTACAAAGTTTTTGACATATGAACACATTTTTGTTATTCTAATCGTGACGAACAATATTTTATTAGTTGGAGGAAAGACAATGAACATGTCATTTTACGAAAAGATAAATTGATGATAAGTACGTTGCTTTTCAAGTGAATACATTAGACATCATTGTTCCCAAGAATAGTCGAACAACAACTTCAACTGAATGTCGCCATCATGGGCACATATTTTCTGCTCGTAAAACATCTAATATACAGTTGAAATGAAATGGATGTTTAACTTTGCAAGGTCACTGAGGAAAGCGCTAATTTAATTATAAGTCTTCGAGACAAATGCTGTTTTTATAATCAAGAAGGTTATTACTAACTATTTGGCAACCATCCAGACGTAATTGTGCAATAAAACGAGGCGATTCTGCTGTTATTCGTTATAATATTCGATTGATGCCATTTCCATAAACACATTGTTGATATTGAGCTTCTTCTTCATGACGCAAATGTTCTTGTCCTTTCCAATGAAAAAAGACATAAAAACTCGAACATACTTATATCGATATTGATGATTCAAAGCCATTAATCGTTTCTGCCGCCAATACACTGCATTGGAACGACTGTTGCTTGTATTTGTAGAAAAATAAATGTATTGATTGTAATTATTATTCCCCAGCACGATATATATAATCCAATGTGACATAACGAATAGTGTTGATAGGAATAATAGTATACGAGACATTTTCATAAAATTGTCGAAGGATTTCCTCAGATTTTTCGTGTGAATCTAGTATTAACATGATGAGATGCCTATCACTCAATATAAAGAGATAGTCATCATAATTATTCTCGTCAGCTGTATGTTATAGAAGTTTGTCCTAGTTTTCTAAAGAGACAATATTTGATTTTCTCATTTGTTCCTGAAAAGAAGAATGTACAATTGACGAATCGGACGAGATGAACAAAATTTTTGAGCAGAAGATATACGAAGAGACCAACCCGAACATAAGATTTATACGAAGAATAGAAAAACGAAGCATCAAATGTTCGAACATGATCGCTATATTTAAGTAGTTTAGATGAATCTTCCAGATAAATATATTCATTCTTAGGTCTATGGAGATATCCGATTACAATGCTACATTTTGAGATTACTTTGGCGTTGAAATGCTCTTGGATTTTGATTATAGATTTGTTCGATCTTTTCAGTATTTATTGCTTTTTCGGGCGAATGTATGAATTCTCTTGACGAAACGACCACAAGGCATTTAAAGTGTATCCTTGGTACTTTGATTGATTTCATTTTTACCCGATTCAATTTAAAAATGCTCAGGTTACAAGAGAAACCAACGGGATGAGAAAAAAAATGATTTATAAGCGAACAAATTATATTTCGTTTCTAAATGAATCCGAAATGCATTCATATTCATTGAAAATGGGCCTACTCATGCATTGTACACTCGATTAGGACAACAAAATAGAAAAATCGATGAATTCATACTTTTCTAATGTATATAATGTGTGTATTTCAAGTATATCAACGACATTGATCATGAATACATTGCAATACTATTGAGCAAGGCAACGACTTTCTCATAGCTTTCCTCTCCAGAATTTTATCAGTTTTGCCAAAGTAACAGGAAAAACAATAAGAAAAGAGAAAAAAACATGCACTTAGTTAGTAACGCGCAGAATTGGCTATATTTCATGTTATGTCAATAGTTACATGTTAATTTTTAAGGCAAGACAAGTAATAGTTACGAGTGCAAAGAAATCAATAGGAATGCTTTTCTATTGCTGATGCTATTCAATCTGAGTCATCCATAAAGGAGCAAATTGCACATTTTAAATCACTTTCCTACTTTCAATTTTATGAAACAAAATACTCAGCTTGTTTGAAGTAGAGCGTATACATATAAATTTTCGAAAAAAATGATTGACTTTCGAAAGTAAATCGCGGTGAAAACAACGTGCTTTGATATATTAAGTGTTTTGTGTTAGTCGAAATTTTCTGATATAATTTGAGATGTTCGCTGAGAAATTTATTATAATAGCAGCCCAAATCCGATCAAGTGTAATAAATGAAGTATCTAGCAATATACCGAAATTAAATTTTGTTCATTACGAAAATGTATAGTCTTTCATATTAACTTATGAGGTTCAATTAGTATCTACTATATCTTATCAACGTTATCGGATAAAACAAGATGTCTCTTTGGCTATTCTGCTCGAATACTTATGCTGGATTATCGTTTGCAGTGGTTTGCAAGACTTTTTAAAACAGTACTTTGTTTAGTTTTATTGGAAACTGGAAACTATATTGTAATATATCTAGTCAAGTACTAAAAATTTGATGTTGAGTAGAGCTTTTTCTTAAAAATATCTATCTTTATTACGCTATGAATGTAGTGGTTCATGGGCGTAAAAAAATAAGATAAGAGAAACAAACTAGAAAACAGGTGAGTGGATGAGTCTTCTCTTTCGTAATAATCAAACATACTGCCATGCTTAAATATTTTTTTTACAATATTTATTGTCATCTTTCACCAATTACTTTTATTGGTATTGAATCGTCTGTTTTCATGCAGCATGAATTCCACTCTTGCAGTGCATATGCTACCTTTGCTTTTTTCACTTCATTCTTTAAATACATTCGTTCTATACTATATGGATATATGTTACTAGATACTCCAATTCATGTTGGGTTCATATGTAATAGCAAACTATAACTCTTTCTCATAGTATTTCAATAAAAAATGCTGTAAACGTATACTCAACTCGAGCTTTTAATTGATCGAACAATAGTAAAGTTAAAGTACTTTTTATAATAATATGAATTTCATACTAGTTAAGATCAAATATTGCTATTTACTCATGTATCGATTTTTCGTTTGTTTAAAGTGTCGAAAAACAATTTTTGTGTTGACACTTTTTCGTTCTTCAATTAAAAGAAACAAACGTATATCATGCAGGTTCATAGTGAGCAATTACACATGTGACTGTTTGTTTTTGTTGCATGGCAATTTTTAATAGACGAATTCAAAACTATTCACGGCTTGACTGCGATTCTACCTGATTGCATTTAAGAGAAATGTGAAGGTAGAGATGTTTTGTATTTTTTTAACAGTTACCAAGCAGCTTGTCGACAATAAATCGAATGATGATGCTTTCTACCTCCTTCTAACAGTTTTTTTTTTCATAGTACTGATTTTTTTCACTAGTCGGTGAGTGAAATCTCAAAGCAAAAGTTTTGTAATAAAAAAAAGACTAGGTTGACAAAATATTCCTAGAAGCAGATAGTCACGACTAAGCATTTTTTGACTGAAATCAAGTTGCATTCACTCTGACTAAATCTATTGTACATGAACAATGCAGGTAACGCATGGCTTAAACAAATTTTCATACTTAACAATTTGAGTCTGAACTATCTAACTGCTTAAAATGTATGAGTAAACATCGTGGGTGGGTATGACAGGCTTGAATCTTTTCTTCATCTACCGAACGATCCCCTCTCACTTACCCACTTATCCATTACGAAAATAAGGTGACTGCCGATAAAACTTCAGATAACACACAGCCATCAGTTTTCAAAAGAAAAATTTCAGGTTATACATCGATTTACAACAGTAAAGTTCTGATATTAGTCCGTATTCCAAGCTGCCTTGATTATTTTAGACTAATAACATTTTCATTTGTGTTCGAAACGAAATAGTGCCAGACGAACAAACGTTTGGAAGTCAGTTTTGCATTAAGAAGAAGGCATTTTGACTCGAACCTGCCATTTCTTATTGTAATTATTAACGAAAAATTATATAGATAAACACAGAATATACACAAGTCTATATACAATTGTGAAATCGGTAAGACTACTTGTTTTGAGTATTCAGCCTTCATCATGCCTGATGACTATTAATCGAACAAACTGTTGAATAAACAAAGCTGAAGACACCGTATCTCCTTCTTTGTGAGACACTTTGTCTTTGCATTTTGTTCGAATTCAATGATTGTTAGTACTGATTGTAATGATAATCTATAGCTTTTCATTACGTATCATCAAGTTAGATAGATATTGACGGCGACTCATTAAATTGCTTTATACCATCAAAAGAATCAATTTGTTGACGCATTTGGTAATGGACCACCTTAACAGTGTCAGCGATTTCAACCAAGCTATTAAAACAATGAAAGCAGAACGTGACGATCTGATGTTCAACTCTAACCAAAGAGGTGCGACGAGTAGCAAAGCGCATAGACAACGCATTGATGAACGTATTAACGAATTGATTCGACAGCGTAATCAGAAACTCCAAAAAGCTTATACACGTCCGATCATCCAGCCACCGACAAATACTGCTACTGTACCACGTCCAAAGCTCAATACTCAACTCAGACCGGACATCACGAAGAAGAATGCCGAACGCGATAAAATAGCACTCAAAATGACGCCCGTCTGGTTCCAGGTGGATGATTCGCAAGCAGCATTGAAAGGCATCGTCTATCCACCGAATACCGTCGAGCACCGACCATTCAATACAGTGGCTCGCTATCGGATGATCACTGGTCAATCGAACAACTTTCGTCAACAGGCACTGGGCGTAGGTGAAAATTTCACAGAAACGCTCATATTAATGCTTGATGCTTTCGCTCAACAATTCGGTGCCGATCTGAGCTTTACTAATGACGATCTACCATTTGATAAGAGTGCCTATCGTACTATCTGCGGGGTAGCCGACTTGGGCAGTGCTCATCTGCTCGCTGCGAACTGTATTCTCACGGCCAGATTCGCTGTTATTGTCCATCTCGACTACGATAAAAATCTTTCTGCATCGGACGATGCCCTGAAAGATTTTCTACTAAATTTTTCCCACGAAACTGTTGTAACATTAAATTGTCTTGAAGATTATCTTAGAGTGTTTTCTATTGAAAAGTCAAAAGAGACGCCAAACTCAACAATTATTAACTTTGGTTTCACAAGTCCAAATAAGAATGAGACCGAACAGATAGCTCACAATTTTCAAGTAAGTTATTCATGCTGACAGATTGTTTTCTGTGTTCTTTTTATTTCCTACTAAACACTTCATAAGAAAAATGAAGATGTCAAGTCTGATTTTTCAGGAATACAACATCGAGTCACCTTGAATTATTCTTTTTTGAGTGGCCAAAGACTGAATAAGAAGGCAGAGCAAAGAAGTTTATTTTTGAGATTCGGTCTATAGAGAGAGAATGCAAATGCAAAGCAACACATACCTAGAGTCCTACGGAACAATTTTTTTCGTGTTCCAAATCCCGTTTGTCCTGTTGAGTGAAAGGAGACTGATTGCATGAAACGCAATAGTTGATTTACTGATTTTCACACGTTTAGTTGCGATGACAAATTCTTCTTTAAGGAAGCTGATCATTTTCTACTCGAAATATTAGCCACGCCTCAAGTAGGTCACTTGTTTTTCACGTGTAACCATCATTTCGAAATGAGAAAAAGTTTGTTAAGATCGTGAGAATATGACGAATGCTTATCTCAAATCTATTTTTCAAAAGTTCAGTTTCGCTCAGGGCTATAAAATTGTGGATAACGATAATTAACAGCTGAGAGTTTACTTATATGATCATACATGACTCAATCTGAACAAGACCATTGATATTTCAGATGGTATGTGCAATAGGTTCTTTATATGGCAATAGTTGATTCAGATTCATTTTCTCTGAACTTGTTAATTCAGCCAAGATAGCTGAATACGATTGAAATTCATTATGCTTTTATTTACGAAAGTCTAAGATTTAGAAATACTAGATTTTGCATCGGATTGCGTTCTGAAATTTTTGAGTCTCGTGCAGTTAGCCGCCTTTTCTACTAGAACTTTGTTCGAGTGGCAGTCGACTTCTTTGTGTCCTCTTTTTTATGTTTTTTATTAAAATATTAACATATATTTATTAGAGATATCAAAATTAAGCTGTACGACAGTTTTTGGTATAAGGATCAAGAAAGCTCGGGACTGTTTCCCAGGATCCTATACACAGAATATCATTGCCACTTGATTTTTTATTATTTTTTTGCCATTCGTGTTGAAGTGCTATCTGTTTCAGTACTTGAACTAAACATAGTAATAGAAAGATCGTCGCGAATTATATCGAGTAGTGTCCTCAAAGTTAAATTTGGGCTGTGCTATCAATGGAAAACTTTATTCGTCTGAATGCTTGACTTCGTGGAATACAGACTTAATGAAAAATGTAAAACTAAGCAAAATAGTTTGTTCGCAAACACTTGAAAAATTAAACGGAAAAATTTGAAAGACATACATTTTTTTAGACTTTTTGCCGGACTATCGAGTGATATCGATCATTCGTCACTCTTAAGCATATAGAAGTGAGACTACTCGCGAAATAAAACTTTTGGCATGTTACAAGACATTTGTGATGGCCATCGAAAGCAAGTTTTTATGCCATTCGAAATAAATAAATAACTAGACCCTGAGTTAAGTTTGTTATCCAGAATTTTTCCTATCAAAGATAGAACACTCAAGATGATTCGACATCCTCTCGCTCCTAAATAAGCCTTGACATTTTTTCATTTCTTTTTCATTATATGCTATTGCAGACACAAGCTCGTTCAGGCTTCAAAGAAAATGCTGTACTTCAGTACATCAAACCAGCGGAGTACTCATATACTTTGGCTCCCATGATATCCTATCTTCAGATAAGACCGAGTGATTTCGTTCCGAAACACAATATAGACTATAGAAAGTCAGACTTATCTGAGTCCGAGCAACGTGGAGGTTATCCTTTCTATTTGCCCGTTGGCTGGTATTGTCATAGGCTTAAAGTCGACCAAAAATATCCTAATGACGACGTCTGGTTTGGTTCTGCTAATGCAAAAGGTGAGTGGCCTGTTGCCTTCCATGGAACGCATTCAAGCGCAGTCAATGGTAGTGATCAGCCAGGTTCCCTAATAAGTACGACTCAAACCAGCATTGCTAGGCAACGAACGATGGAACAGATAGAACCAACAATGGATCAATCCGAAATTAATTTGACAACTCATTGTAACGGCGGTGCTCATCCTCACTATACGAGACCATTCTGCTTGGAAATGCCGGATAAAAAGAACAAAACGCTTCGAATTGTTTTTATGTGCCGTGCGCAGCCAGGTAAATTCACTACTCATCAAGTTTCCGCCTCGACAGGTCATGTTTGGCGTTTTGTCGATCCCGATGCTATTAGACCTTACGGTATTCTGATTAAAGATGAAGACGTGCATGACAATTGATAACTGTGTAATAATTGTTTCGTTTATTTTTCTGTAATCGCCAATTTCAACTTCGATTTCTAAGAGTGTGGTAAGTATGATAAAATAAACTCACGAATAAACCTTCTTAACGCTTTATCACTCTCTTCCCTTACCACTGGTCGCATTTAGATTACAGAATGGACCATTTCTGGAACAGTTGCAAACAATCGAGAAAGCTTGTGAATCGAAACGATCGGAACATTTTTCATATTAAATAACATGGGCTGTCAAGTGACAGAAAATCTGTTTTATTTCACCGCTTCATCTCCTAAATATCGAGTCTACAAAACCAATGATTTCGAAAAAATAAAAATAAAATTCTAATTTTTCAAAACAACATGTTCTCCATCTAAAGTCAATAGAAGCCTGTCGGAATATCTCAGTTATATGAATCAATGAAAACGCCTAATGGAAAGTTATATATGTTTCGAAATTTTTATGATAATTTGGTGAATTACAAATGCTGAAGCACGGTACTGACACTCTAGTTTCTTCTTCAATTTAGATTAGACAAAACACGGTAGATTCGCTAGTGATATTTTGAAAAAAGTGATGCACACTCTTTTCATTACATTAATCATTGATAGAGACAAAGTGAAATTTGTTTGCTATGCATGCTTTCTCTTGATTCTTTGTTGCGAGAAAAAAAAACATACTTGAGTGATTGTTTCTATTTGTGCAGAAATGGTGCGATAAGCAAACAACACATAGTGCACTTTGTTGACTGTCACCAGTTGATTTTTTCCAACGTTGTAAAAAACAGAACACAGTCAATGCTCATGTGAGACGATTCTAAGTGTATGCATGTCGACAACAATGTTATAGTGCTCTCAATGCTACTGTCAAAGCAAATTTTTGAGATAGTGCTACAGAGACTATGTAATCGTTACAGAATCAAACACTACTTGAATGAACCAGTTTTGAGTTTTTTCTCGTTAATGGCCAAATTGTTGGACATTATGTTGTTGTCAACGATGGCAATCATGGATTGACTATTATAGGCGTTTAACCACCGTAAATGCTTTGCGATAATCACTAATTCGAATTTCAGGTCTATGCTTCAGATTTCGTTTTCAAGTACAGCTTTATAGTTTCGTTGAATTGTATCATTGATATTTTTTTAGAAATGAACTTCGATCGCACTAGTAGAAATAGAAATGGAGATCACCAACTTTTGTAATGCTTTTCTTCGTGAAGATACAATTGATCGACGACCATTTCGTTTAATCAATTCATTGATAAATATGCTTTGGGAGAATGAAGAGAAGGGAACTTGTACATGTAAGATTCAGAGGTGAAATATTTTTGACATCATTCGAATGAAAGTCTGTAGAAAAATTATTTTTGTCCGATTGAAATCCGTCATTGATTCAATGAAAATAATTAAATTAAACTGACAAGAATTTATTTAATTATTCAGTTTTGAAACACAAAAACGTAGTTGTTTGTACTAATGTATTAACTAAGAATAAACCATCTATGTGTTCAAATTAGACTTCAGAATGAACTCTGAAAACAATGTTAAGTTGATGATAAGTGAATATAGTCGAACGACACAAACAATTTCTTAGAAATGTTCGATAGAGAAGATCTTGAAAGTATGGATTATTTGTGACAAGTATTTCAGGTGGTAGAGCAGAGTTACCCCAGCATCCCTATTCATATTGATTGGTCACCTACGGGACTTCTCCATAGGTTATGCATTAGAGGGTAGCGCCTAACGACAAAATACCCACTTTTCATAGAAATATCTACCAATGTAGGAATACTTATCCAATTATTTCACTTCATCGGTACTACCAGAAGGAAAATTGAACGATAAAGTAGAAAAAATTCACAAATCCTTTTTTTATTTAAAGTCTTCAGTTCCAAAATCTGTATAACGCTGTCTAAAAAAGAAACAATTTTGACTTCAAAGAAGTGCGCCGCAAACCAACGATAGACAATCGATACCGTGTTTAAGTGAGCAGAGATAATCAAATCGACTTGCTTAAGATAACATGCAAATGTTGATGACAATGACGCAAAAAAATGTTGCTTACATCAATGAGTGATATAAACATTGAAATGAACACTTGCTCTAGACATCTCAACACACATGATAGACACTCAACAAGAATTGTTTTCACGAAACGATGAAATTGAAGAACCAACTCATGAATTTTGTCGTAGCCGTCATTCTTCAATCGGCTCAAAGTCGAACTGTTTTGTCCGAATACTATATGTTTCTTTGTTACTCAACATTCCTAATTTTGATTTATAATTCGAGATGATTTTAAAGAAACTGGATCATGCTTTGAAGAAATGTTAATATGTGGCATTCTCCAACAAAATTCTATTTAACAAGAGAATCGATCATGTTTCTATTGACAAGGCATCAACAACGATGTTGATTTCTTTGATTCCTAGTTCGAATTGAACGAACAACTTTTTTGTCGGACAACGCTGATCAAAAAGGATTTATGTAGTCGATGAATAACGTGTGTGTCATCTTTTCATCTGCACCCACATCCTTATTTTCATTATATACTGCAGTTGAATTTATCTGTGATAGGATAATTTCATTTCTTACTAAATGTTAAGTTTTATCATATATATCGTCTGTTGGAATCATCAGAGTGATGATCTTCAAATTTACAACTTCATTGTATTCCATCTGGTATTGTAAATTTAGTCCCAAGAACTAAAACCTTGAAGAGACTTCTTCTTTGATATTCATCAGCCACAATTTTGATAAAATTCATAAATGTCAGT